TCTTTTATTATTCTATTCTCTCCCTCCCTTTACTCTGTCTCTCCAGGATGGTATTGGTTGGTCGAATGGTTGCTGGGATTGGTGTAGGGTAAGTCCTCACTTAACATGTGTACATGTACATGTAATACCAATGTATTTAAAAACATTTTTCTCATAATTATTATTAGTATATTGAGTATGATTGTTCATAAAATAATAACAATAATAACTAGACAAGTGTAAAACATTAAGGCCTGGCCACACTATCATGCAGAGCTACATGAGAAAGCAAAGCATTATTGTACATGTACATGTGTAAATACAGCAGATCTAATGATTTAAGAAATGGAACGTATAAGTTTAATATGTACATGCATGTGCAGCAGATAGATTTTACTGGTATCCTTCACAAAATTTACATTAAAAAGTTTTATATGATTGTTTGATGGATTTGTACAGCATAGAAGTTGACAAATGCCCATTTATATATTCCAATGCATCATTCCCTCACTGCAGGTGGCTAGTGAAGAAAGGGAAGAGCAAGAAAGCAGATAAGACCCTCCACAGGTTACGTAAGGACTACACTGAGGAAGAGATAAAGGAAGAACTGAACGACATTGAGTTTACTGTACTGAACTCAAACAATTCTTTAAGGGACGCATTTAGTGATATATTTAGATGGAGGATACTGGAAAGGTACAGTAAATTAGATTATCAAATAATAACATTAAGAATTATTTTAAATTAGCTGTGTTGTAAATAATAACATTGTGGATTATTTTAAATTAGCTGTGTTGTTATGCAGCTAATTTAAAAATAATTCACAATGTTATTATTTATTAACCTATTAGTTAACCTGCTTTAAAATTATCATTGTTACTGTTGATGTTACAATGTAGTTATATGAGTACAAAACATGTCTCTTGCATCATCAAAGTCAGCAGCCATACACATTGTAGTTGTAGCTCAAGAATATATCCACAAGCATTATTGTAGACATAATATTCTTGAGCTACAACTACAATGTGTATTGCTACTGATTTTGATGATGCATGATGTGCATGCAAATAGACATGTTTTGTACACCCATATACATGCAGCTGCCAAGTATGGGAACTGTTGTCCATTCAAAAATTTATTGCAATAATAATGACAGTAATGTAACTACATTTACTATACATGTATTTTATTTCTGCTTCTTCTTTTAGTGTTTTCATTCATTAATAGGATACTGTTGGGAGTTATACTGCAAAAGGAATGTCATCATGTAAGTGAGAGTATATTTGTAGAGAGAAAGAGAAATTTATATTTAATCTATCAAAAGAGACGATCTAAAGAAAGACATGATTCATGTAGTATTATTCCTCCTTCTTTATCCAGGTATTACTCAACCTCAATATTCTGCAGTATAGACGTATCCAGTTATGCTGCTACAGCAATAGTGGGTGTGGTAAACTTCTTGACTACTCTCATCACTCTCTTTATTGTCGACAAGGTCAGTTAAATACAGTCTCCACCAGTTTACATGGGTTTTTAGGTTGAACGTAAGACCCTGTTGCTAGTTGGGGCACTTTGTATCTATACTGGCAGCTGGTCTCCTCATTTATATCTTTAATGTTGATGAGGAGAGAGAGGAGGAGGAGAGACAGGTTGTTGGATATTTTGTGGCTCTCCTGATTGTACTCTTTGTGTCTTTCTTTGCATCTACCTGGGGGTGAGTTAGGGATAGTGTTCTCATTCCTGTACTTAGTATAGAAATATGGGAATGAGATGTCATTTATAGTTTTTAAGCATAAATAGGTATTTTATTGATAGAGTGATATAGTAATTCTTTAATGGTGCCAGGTGAATTGTTACATTTACATTGACAGTAAACAAAGCTTGCTGCCAAAAGTTTCTATTATACAAGTACATGTGTACATGTACAAATGTACTAAAGAAACATTGAGTATGGACTACACAAAATAAACTTTTTGCTGACATGATAGACAAATTCTACATGATGTATTGATATTGCTCTTTATAGGCCAGTTGTTTGGGTAATGACTAGTGAAATATTCCCTCTCTCTGTTGGAGGTTAGCTGATACTGATTTAATGCACATGTTCCTTGATGTCTTCTCTCTCTCTCTCTCCAGTTTTTGGGAACTTTGTGGTTGCTATGGTAACCCCATTACTTCTCGGTTCTGTACTAAAGACGGCCGGTACATTCTACATACTGGCAGGGTTTCTCTTTGCCTCATTTTTATTTGTGTTGCTAACACTTCCTGAAACAAAAGGAGAGAGTTTAGAGAGAACAAGAACATAAAAAATTTAAAAAAACAAGATTGAGTATAGCTGCATGGGAAAATGTGCATGAAGAGTTGAAGAACTACTGAATATTTTAACCTTTATTCTCTGATAGGTGTTGTTGTCCATGGTCTAATGCTTGTAGGGTAAGGACTGCACAAGAAGAGGACACTGTAGCCATTGTTGGTATAAAGAATGAGAACAAAGATGATACGAGTGATGAGGCTGAAGATGAGTGAGTCTTTAATCATATACATGTACTCCCTTTCTTTCCTCTCCCTTCTCTCTGTCTCTCCCCTCCCCTCTTTCTCCCTTTCTTTCCCTCAACCTCCTCCTTCCCTCTCTCTTCAAGTTTTCTTCCTCCTCCCTCTCTCTCTTTCTCAATCCCAATACTCTAATGTATACTGTTCTTTCTCTCTTCTCTTTACAGGGAAAATGAGTCCGGTACTGATAAAAGATACAGGTGTTCTTGAGTCTAGTAGCGAAGGGGCGGGGCACGAGACTAGTCTTTTGGCTAAATTTGACAAATAAAGATACAGACAGATTTTATAATATTTTCCTGTTATTTTGTATGGAGCCGTATGTATAATTTCAAGGGACATGGGCAAGCCAAGACTAGCCTTGGACAAAATAAGCCAGCCCGGTTAGGATAACTATAATAATTGTGGCACAACAGGAAAATTAAGATTTAGATAATAGAGTGATCTGTCATTACAATTACAGTAATGAGTAATTGCATCGATAGTTTTACTTTTATCTTATTTTCATTTACTCATTGCAGATATAGTGTTGTGCCCTGTGCCTCACTGAAATTCACTGAGTAAGACAACAAAAATTACGAACAAAATAAACAATACAGAGTAAAATATACAATATGCTATGAAAGAAATCGGATTGATACAATAAGGGACTAATAGAATCACACAACACAGTTTTGGGTACTTTGCAATGACATCATACAACCTGAAATACAAGATAGCGATGAGTGCTACAATTAGTTTTGACTAACCAATTCTTCTTTTCTGTAAAAGTAACTTGTTTCCACTTCGTGCACAGGTTCCATTAAACTGAAGCCATGATCGTCTTCATCATTCTTATACCAGATTCTATCACCAGCAATGATGGCTGCGGCTCGACCTGCTCCACTAGCTGACTCTTGCAGTGGCCTACTCTGACGAGGAAGAGGAGCTGCCGCTATCAAGTTCAAGTTAGGTCTTGCTTCTCTAAGCCACATAATAAATAACAGTATAAGAAGCATGTCCAACAATCAAAAACTTCCCGAAAGACTTGTTTTGAAGAGGAGGAAAAAGAGCAGCAGAAGCACGCGGTTAATAAGGCTATAAAAGTCTCTCTCCCACTACAAACTGTATGAAGGTGAAAAAGTTTCTATGGAATCATTTTCTCAACTCTTATAATGTTGACCACCCACGCACCTATCACTTATCATGTCCATGCAATAAATGTTCCCACTCCCCATGTCTAGCTGAGGGTCTGGACCAGCCAGACTAAACCTAGGTTGTTATCTTCCGTATTGGAGGTCTTTGTCAGCTTTATAACAGAAAAAAGGTCTAGCCAGTGATAATGAAAGGTAGTAGTATCCAAAGCAAGGATAAAATAGACAATAAAAGGTCTTAGAGGTGAAGAAATGCTCAATGAAAGAGTTTGCTTGCACTCTGCCACCATTTTGGGTGTGGCTAGGAATGACGTTTAGTGATGCAAACATTGATGTGGCAACTCAAATGAAACTGACTATACCATGGGTTTACTCTGCAGATCTGCGGTACACCACGAATATTAGTCAGGCTATAATCATATGAATATCTCAGTTCCTATACAGGATTATCCCCGTGTGGCTGCTGTCTATTGTGTGGATCAATAATTATAGACCTCTTTGGGTGAGAATGAATTACGTCAAAGAATGATATACGGCAAGGGGCGTGACTGAGCCTGGCTGACTCTGAAATAATTTTCGTGGACGGCAACTTTCTATGGAGTATGAATGGGCTAATACAGAAAGCAAGCTCTATTAAAGAATATGCTTCATATTGCACCAAATCCCTTTTAGGAGATGCTTAACAGCGACCATTCTTTCCTCTAACCAGCTTTTGTAGCTTGAAAAAGCTCCACGCCAACGAAAAGAATCAGTTTTGCCTTTTCTTCATTCATCCTCCATTGAATCTTGCCGTTCAAAATGGCGGCCAATTATCACCGTAGGTGGATACCGTAATAAACAGTAATGATATTCATAGGCCACCGTCAATCTCACCTGAAGAGGTCTATTAAAGTAAACAGAGATTATTAAAATAATTGTAGGCACTGTATCAGAAGCCCATACTCTCCAGTCCTTCCTCTAAAAATTGTTTATATATTCTCATAAATTTTGCTGTGAAGGCCTCAAGATGAAAGATTGCTTTACTACCCAGTTGTGACTGAGCTTGATACAGGCTGAGCTGCTAATTGAGTCACTTCAGCTTTCAGTGTACCATCACAGTTAGCAACCAGCTCATTCAATATCCTCTGTAGAAGGAAAATATTAGAAAAAATATTGCAATAAATACATGTACATGTGTATTTCCTATTACTCTCCCTTTCTTCCAGTAGAAGGAAGAAATTGACTATGAGTCTCTCATTCTCTTATCTTTCTCTCCCTCCCCCCTCTCTCTCTCTCTTAGTTACTTTAAAAATAATATCAGGTGGTATACAATGAGTTAACAGCTCATAATAACGTCCTCTTACTTCAAGTAACCTCAAATATAAAGACAATACATTTTTATTAATTTTATTACAATTGCTTTTGTGTTACAATATACCTCTTAGGGCTCTGCTCTGTGATGATCATTGCAGCTGTTTCACGTAAGAATACCTCCCACTCAGAATCAGGGACAACCTGATCATCATTGAAGGGATACCTACATGTATCAGGAAGAAGAAAGAGAGAGAGAGAAGGAAAAAGAGAGGTACATCTACATAATGTACAGTACATGTCCATATAAGGTCAAAAAGCTTACACAAACTGATCTGAATAGGTGCATGTGTTTACTGCATGGCCAATCAATCATGAATCATGATGAATTTGATTCCCTTACTGCTGAACACGACATGCCTCACAAAGCAGTATAGCCTTACGAAGGTTTCTCTCTGACTTCTCTGCAATCCTCTTGGCTAGTGTATCTGGTATAGTCAATGATTCTTTATGACAAACATACTGTAGGACACTACATATCTACAATAATAACAATAAT